AGTTACTGAAGCTGCTCGATGTTGCGGAGGTCTTGCATGATGCGAGAGTACTGACCTTCACGAAGTGCTATTCTGTGGATGACTTCATTCAAGATAGTTTCGCAGCGGTGTTTGGAGGCCGACGTGAATTCCAAAGTGCTTCTCAGTCAGGCCAGCACTGACTCGAGATGATTCATATTTTGGTGTAACATGAAGGTGATAGGCGAGCACCTGCTCCATCGCTTATGGATGGAACATCTTTGGGGTTCTCCGCCCTGGTACTAACGTACACCCGTCTCTGTCGGGCTGCGTAAAACTTTGGCTGATATGTGACTCGGTCTGAAATGTCTTTTTTTTCGCCTCCCCCTGTATATGCGAGTATGAGTGGTATCATTTGTAACTTTCTGCCAGTTGGATATTCATGAGAATATGACCGCCGTTTGGGTAAGTCGTAGGCAAGAATTGAGTGAAATGCATTCATGAGCTTTCTTCAAACATTACTTTTAAGAGGTTCACTGTGCTCAGTTGAGAAACAACCTAACGTGTATGACGCTCTCTTCGTGAGGAATGCCAACTTGTACAGCCCATAAAACCCAACAGGCTGCGACAACATAGATACTTCTTATCAGTTGATTGCTTCTATAAAGTCACAATAGGCGTTACCAGTTGCTTATTTTCCTCGTTTGGTAATAGTTGAGGGCAATAGCGCTCAAGTCTGTCCGATTGCCTTATGCATTTTCTACCAAGGACTCGCCAACGCTTTTACACATTGTTCCAATTTCGTGTTTTTCCTGCATTACAATATGGCAGGAGCAATCTCTCGAAGAAATGCAGTACTTCTATCCAAGCCTTGGAACCAACTGAGAGGTCTTGGAAGGAAGTTAAGACTGAGTCGGCCCAGACTGGAGCCGATCTGCAAGTTGGGTTCAAATAAACAAGTTTCGGGAAGCAAGCGCGCGCACTTGCCACAAAGCCATCTCCGCCCGAGGAGAAAGCGCCTACAATAAATTATTCCAATTATGCCCTCCACTGGTACGCAAGCCGTGGCCTCTATGTTGACATCATAGACAGTGTAGCTGTGAATCGTTCTTTCTTTTCTAAGAATGATTTGGATCGCTTTTTGAAAGTACATTACATTGACCAGTTTTTCTCTCTGAGTATTTACAAACAGATATCTCGATTTCAAATGAACTTTGAGGGACCAAAGCCGAGGAGAAACTGCTAATTGAAACTGTCAATAAGATTTTCAGCAAACGTACTAAATAAGTACTTTCAGGTCACAGATGATAAAGTTTCGACGGTGGGAATGGTGTACGATGGCAGTGGCCGTTATTTGTTTAACGGTTTCCATTGTCACTTGGACCGTTTTCCCGGCCGTTTACCCTAACGAGGTGAAAAAGGTGAGGAATATTCTGATAAGATTCTACGTGACCCTTTACCTCTTTTCATTTGCTACAATGTACAATTTGCGAAGGTAAGAGAGCTATGCACGGCGTAGGCGGCGCAGTTCGGCCTTGTGGGTGGCAAAGAGTAATAAAAAAAAGGATAAAGTCTTCGCCGTTGATCAATTCCTTTGTGGGATGCGGAACGCATTCTACTTCTATTCAGAATCGTAGTGACCTTATTGAATGCGATGTGACCAATGACTTTCGGGGGCCAGCCGATGTACAAGTCCGTGTTATTATCCTCCCAGACAAATCTGGTACCAATTTACCGTCCCCGGAGGGCAGAAGGCTTGGTTGGTCTAGGCGAGAAGTCGACACGGGACTTGAACCCAGGACCGCGCGAGTGGGTAGGGCGTCACTTGTCACTACACCACCTCCTGCATTGGCGGAGAGGAAACTAAGAAAAAGCGAACTGAGCCGAACACCGCCGTGCCGTGTCGGTGTCGCCGTCTACAGCTGCTTCATACTTTGTGGCAGCGTCCATCACCGTTTACCAGGGAGACTGGGAAAGTGTAGGTATGCGTCTGACAGCGTCTCCCAGCTGTCTGCTACTTTCCTATCGCGTCGTACTCCCCTCTTCCGGATGCCTGTAGGCGCCGATGCACGCTAGCACACGCTGATAGACGCCCGATCGATAGCTATACTTCCTGTGCCCTCGAGACGCTGGCGAACGCTGGGAGACGCTGGTGGACTCTGCCGCAAAGTGTGAACGCAGCCTGAAACTGCTAATAGATCGAATTATCAACTCGAGCCCGTCGATGAATCGTATGTGGAAATGTCGTTCTGAGAAAGAGCTACGAATTTTGGGAATACCTGTGCTTTAGCTGAGACAAATTTTGGCACTATTCCACTACTGAGACTCCCAAAACCCAAAAATTTACTGAAACCTCGCCATCTCCGGCTCGAGCTTGTTCGAAGCCCTGCTCAGCAATGACATCCATTTTTAGCTCTGCCACATTTCCTACCTAAAATTGTATAAACTTGCATACTACCGCTATTTGGCATTCCGATTACGAATATAGGTGTTCAATCTCGGTGTCATTGCTAACGTAGGGTACTCCGATCATGTGCGCTCTAAAGTTGAGAATGATGGGAACGAATCATTTTTCTACCAGGTTCAGTCGGCAAAGCGCCAGCGAGGTAAACGAATGTCTTACTCGTGACGGGACCAAATAACCTTGTCATGCAAATCATTGCAAGAATGCTGAGTCATAGCAAAACATTTATTTTGTAGGTTTCCATGGTTTATGAAAACGAAGATGGCACTAGAGCCAAAACAAATATCGTATTTGTGATCAGGGTTAAGAATTAACTACAAGCGCAGTTTCATTGTAGATTCTTTTGGAGTTTAAGGAGTCATAATAGTGAATAGAGCATAAATTTTATCGAATTCCGTCGAGTCAAGTATGTGAGTGCAGCTTTTTTGGTGACCTTCAAGGGCAATAAAGAAGCATGGGCACGATAATTGCTCCCTGAAGAAGCACCAAGGTGTAATTTAGTGTAAAGTAGGGCAGAAAATAAACGAAAGAAGGCGAGAAATGCGCCCCTAATTACCACTGGAATCGGAAAGAAAACTGTACGAGCAGAACGTTGTCCATAGTGTGGGACCTTAACAACTCGGCGCATCTGCGAAAACATTTTGATTCGTATCGAATAGAGAAAGCCAGCGAAGCAAACAAGTTAGACATCTATTATATAGCAGTCGGATCGCCCGCTGTGCCGGCGCTCCTCCTTCTGTGACATGGCCCGGCTTCGCCGGGCCATGCGGTTGCCGCGTGCTAAGGTTAAGGATCGTTAACCAACCACACTGTTCAAAGAATCTTCTGCACAGCCAAGAACTGAAAAGCAGCGCTTGTTCCGTCAAGGCGCAGAAGCAGCAGCAGCCCCCCCCCGAAGGAGGAAAGCCGACCTTAGCCAGCTATCCGACTGGTACGTTCATAACCTACACGGAAATAGTGCAGCCTGTTTATACAGCCACTGAAGCAGCTATAATTTATGCAATCCGTCTTCCTAAAGCGTCTTACTTTGGAACGCCCTACCGCATTCATCAGTGGAACCCTTTAAATGGCCCTCACCGAAGTTGCTGATGGAAGATAATTGATGGAAAGAGTGATAAAGTCATTTGCTGCTGTCCATAACATCTCTGTAAACAAAACCACATGCATTTGGAATAGAGCTGGCTTAGCGGTCGTACACGACGTCGTTACTAATAAGCAGTGAGGAATGAGTTCTGTTGGAATCACTGAGATCGTTATACTTGAGTCATATCGATCGCATTGCTGTTTTGAGCGGTTGAAGCGGATATTTCCCATGCTACCTGTCAATTTTAGCTCCTACCACTTCCGTACCCGCCAAATAACACTCCCATCCCGTATCACTATCATATCACCCTATATCACCTCACGGACCTGAGTTCCCACTGGGCTGTAACCTGCGCACGAATTTGATGACCCTCCTCTTCCGAGGCCCCTTATCGGATCTTATCAACTGTTATCAGCTTCTGCCAGCGCCACCCTACGGCATATCAGTACTTGAAATCATATTCCGCCGTTGCTGCCAACTTGCACGAATTCGGTTACCCTCCCCCTTTAAGGCCCCTTATCGACCTTATCAAGTGTTATCACCTCCTGTCACGCCACCTAAAGTGTTACCGTCCTGCCATGTATCTCACTTCTTGAAATCACGGTCCTGCAGCTGCTGCAAATTGCGCTACGATTTCGGTCACCCTCCCCTTCTAAGGCCCCTTATCGAATCTTATCAAGTGTCATCACCTCCTGTCACCCATCAAAAGTGTTCCCGTCCTGCCATGTATATCACTTCTTGAAACTGTCATCCTATCTTTTCTCGGACGCTCGCTTATGAATTTCGTGACACACACACACAACACACACACACAGACACACACACAGACACACATAGCGGTTATATATAGTAGGATTATTAATAGGTGCTACACTCCTTTCTTATTGTTCTCATCTGTAATTGAATGGCCAAAAGTAAAAAATGATGTTGAACGCATGAGCGAAGCATTGTGCAGGTTTTTCTGTCAGGAGTTTCCTGTTTCAGGCCAAACTACGTACTACCCCCCCCCTCCCATACCCATAAGGCGGCTGTTCTTGATCGAGTCGTAAATAGATGGAGGGATTCTTGTACCCTGTTCTTGATCGAATGCTCGCCCTTCAGTAACTGGAAGTTACTGGCCACGCTGAAGGTACAGAATTCAAGAATAATATTTTATTGATGGTAACGCTAAGTCTTGGATCTTGTCCCTCGGAGTGCTCACCAGATTGTCTTGAGATCTTGTCCTTGACGCCTTGAACGCTCCAGTAGGACTCCAGCCTCCCATCCTCCAATCGACCACTTTTATATGGAATCTTATGTTGAAGTATGTAAACATAATCTAAAGAGAATTATTATTTAGAAGCGTTATAATGCAACATTGCTCACTGATCCGCCAAAAGATAAGAGGCTGAGAACTTGAGCGGCGGATGACTAATCGCTACAGTAACTGAGAGAAAAAGCTTCTAACCGTATGTTAAGTTGCGCTTAGCGACACTCCCGGCGCGGCTTTTGATTCTACTGCTTCCTGGCTTGGTCCAGTTCGTCCCTTACTTCTTGGATGGCCTCTCTTATTTTATCCTTCGAATCTGGAATCGTGCACAATGCTTTATGGTGTCCGTCGTCCCTGGGGATGAGGAACCGTAGAACTGTGCCTCTGACGACGTTACAGTACCAGCAGTCCTTCTCTTCTTCTTTACATCTCGAGTAGGGGTCACAAAAGCCTAAGCAGTAGGTGCACCTCCGGTTTCTCCTGATATAGTGGTATCTGTCATCACCATGCACAAGCTCCGAGCACGAGTCGGAATAGTGGACTCCCCTAATTCCGCAGAAAGCGCACGTTATGTTGGGGTTGACACCTCTGGATGATTCTCCGAATCGCCTTTTTGGAAGCAATCGCAATCCTTCTTCGAGTTCTTTGAGATCCTGTTCCAGGGTGTTTACCTTCGTTCTTCGATAAGTCTTAGGTAGTTCGACTTCGTGCTTCTTTCCCTTCTTATTTTCATCCTCAGATGTGTCTTCTTCGTCCTCTCGTTCGGCACTCTCGTGAATAAGTTGGATTAGGTAGTCCTCATCCGATATTACTTTCACCTTCGTTGCTGTTTCCTCGGAATCGTCGCTATGACTCCTTTTTTGTTGCGGACTTCTCCTGGCTTCGACGTCGGCTCCCATCTGAACTTGAGTCTCTACAGATCTTGTTTCGATCGGGGTGGTCTGAATTGACGCAGCGGAGTAGTGCACTGATTTCTGAGCGCTCGAAGATTGCACGGCGTCTTTTTGGGCTGGAGTTTCAGTCTTTTCCTTCTCTTGCGACTTTGTTGCTTGGTTTAACTCGTAATTCATCTCGTCGATATTGCGCTCCAGCTTCCGCACTTCCTGGTCGACTAAAATCATGACCTCTTCTGCCTTATATTCATAAGTCCAGTTCTGCTGTTCCCACTTTTCTCTTCTACCTGGAGAGAGTTGACCACTCTTGGTGAGAGCTAGGAAAACGGAGTCCATGAGGAGATATCTTTGTGTAAGACGTACGATCTTGTCCTTGTCCACCTTAGTAGTTGCTGATCGCAGAAAGCGGTTTATGCGACGAGCGAGTTCTTCTCCTGTGATGTCGGTGCAGGTGGTGTTGATCAGGTGGTGGAACCAGGATTCATCGATATCTCTTGCCGCCTTGAGTTCTTGGTGTATTTCGTGGAGGGTTACACTCATGTCCGTTTCCAAATTTCTGTCCGACTGCGATTCTTGATGGACATTGGCCAGGAAGCGGAAATCTTTCAAGAAGGTGCTATCTTCCGGCATTATGAATCGACCTGAAACGATAATTCTACTCGCGTCTTGAATCTAATAAAGATGAGTATGTACAACAAGGAATATTTTAATCAATTATTTACAAGGATCTTTGTGATGCTTACTGTTGCTTAGTGTGCCCTTTATGATTCTGATGTTCTCGGAAGCATTTGCATACAGCTCGTATCACTGCGATTACCATTCTTGGTGCGAGAAGACACATCCATAGGGCAATACGTAACCCATAAGTGGTCAGTATCATGTAAGTGAGTCCAAGGATGATTAGTAGGCCCAGTATCGCTACCAGCGCTGTCTTATACCACTGAAGGAATACCGTAGCGATGTGGTAAAAATCCGGCCATGGAATTGCGGCGCTCGATGTTGGTGTTCCCGTGAGCCACTGTTCTACGATTTCTTGTATGGAACCGGTGAACTTCAGAACTCCCCGTAGGTCGAAGGTGTCCGGCACTTTACCACAGGAAACTGAACAGGCTAAGTGAATCTGGGCCCTGGAAAAACTGAATCGTATTGTTGACACACTTCCTGTAGAGTTGCAAGGTATGGAGAATCCAATTTCACCACAGGTCACTTCCGCTTGGACATTGTCTCGGGACGATGTGCATTCGATCTCAGCAAAAGCTCCTTTTGCGCAGTTATAACATCCTATAAGTTCTGTGTCCTTAACCTTGCAGATGGCATCATCAATCAGGATTGACTGTTCGAAGATGTCTTCAAAATTCATGACGAATTCCGACATAACCATTTGTGATACGCGAGCTATAACTGATCCCCCTTGATGGTGGAAAGTCAGGGAAGGAAAAGTGGCAGGTAGCTGATTCTTGAGGTCGTTGAACAACAGCCCGACCGGTAGATCTTTGCATCTGCAATTCGCTCTCGTCTCTGCGGGTTGACAAACACAATTCTCGGAAACTGGGCATTGAAGATTTTGAGCGCTAGTAAAATTCCAACATTGCAGTGCGGGTTTTGCAGTCGTTCGCCACATCGCTACGCGTCTTGAGTCCGTGATAAATTGGGTGTTGAGCAGAGGAAGCGGTGGAAGAGATAACGCGGATAACGTGATGCTGAAGGAATTCAGTTTCTTGGGTATGTTAGGGGTCATTACCGTGGTGGTAGTCGATGTCTTGTCCCTAGTTCTGTCCACGTGAGTGATGAGGATTTTCGCCGTCTCTGTCCACCTGTTACAGTGGAAGATTTCGTATACGACACTATTCAGCGGTTCAACGTAGATCCGATAGAAAAGGCAACCAGAGCTCAAGGAAAAGCAGTCACATCCCGGTCCCCCGCATGATTCCACGCAAGCGGTATTTCCCGGGAATTTATTCCCTTTTTCTAGTTCTGGAATCAGACTTGACGCATTGATTGAACCGCATTTATCGCCTACACATGACCCCATGTGTGGGCATCGCTTACTATCCACGATTCTATAGGCGGTATCTCTTGTGAAATAAAGGGTTTCGGGCTCACACCGGAGGCTTACTGATATCCATTTTAAGCGGATCTCATGTAATGGCGTCGTTTTATGAGAGAGGCGAAGGCAAGCTTCACGCTTGAACGCGTTTAGCTTCAGAATTTCCGATAACCGTATTTGACATGGTCCCGATGCATGATCCGTGCAGATGGAAGTATAGTGATCGAAAACGTCCACCATTTGGCACCCTTTTAATCCCCGGAGCGATAAGCACAAAACTGCTACCGCTAGGATTTGGGCAAGGTTACGCCGACGACGGGTGGCAATTCGATTATTGCGTGTTCTGAAAAGACCTTTTATGGTTCGGATGATGTTTCTCAGCAGCGTCCAAAGGATATTCCCAAATATTCTTACCGGACGCCCCACGACCAGAGGTACGTAAAGAAACACGTAGCACCCTGTAATCACAAAATAGAGTATCGCCATAGTAGCTACTATTGCCCCCACTGGCCAACATTCAGGGTTTAGAATGTTGGAGCTGCAAAACGTGCAGTCTATGGTTTGGCAGAATGGTGCTGCAGGACAAGTAGTTTCTATGGTGATCACTGCTTCTCCTTGGAGGAACTTCCACTGGACTCGGTGTTCGTGTAGCGTCACTTCAGGAGGGAAGCTCACATTTTCGACGACGTGAGGGCTGCTGAAATGGATACAATGTTCCTCTCACAAACCTCATAGGGGGTCTGTTCGTCCATGTGTAATTGCACTCCTCCTTCGAAGCATTGGACATACCTCATGAATCTTGAATGGTTCTTGGCAAGGTTATCTTGGTTCTTGGCGAGTGAGCTGCACACCACGGGAGATAGCATAAGAAATGTCAGGAAGGCGAGTTGCACTAAACTGAGAAGCGAAAACTCCCTCAGATGAAGAACTGGGGATTGACCGCGCTCCTTGTAGTTCACTCGTGTCTGCTTTCTAAGATTGTATCGGTGGTTATGGGACCGCAGCGAGTGGTCGTTTGTGGGACAGTCAGCGCCCTGATCTTGGTCCCTTGAATCAATCTTGTACTGTTCCGTGGAATCAATCTTGTCCTGATCTTGGTCCGTGGAATCAATCTTGTCCTGTTCGGTGGAATCAATCTTGTCCTGATCTTGGTCCGTGGAATCAATCTTGTCCTGATCTTGGTCCACTGGTTTCTTGGTTTCGGTGCTTGGACAGTCGTCCAGTTCCAGTGGTATTAGAAGATTGATTGGACGCCGTATAAGTCGTCTTGATGGTAACCGGACAACCGCTTCTCTTACTGTCCCTTTTGTATTGCGGACAAGTTCTTGAATTATTCCGGTTCTCCAGGAATGACGCGGCAGTGCTGCTTCACTAATCAAGACGAAGGCTCCTTCACAGGGTTGCTGTTTAGATCCTCTTTTATGTCCGACGTGAAGTACGTGTTTCTCGCGAAGATCGGTGAGATAATGGTGTTGCCATATTTTCCAAAATTTTTCCGTCAAGTGACATGAGGTTTCCAATGCCGCGACGGCTTCTTGACGTGTTTGAATCGCGGACATTTCGCCAGGTGGAATGTAATCCAGGTCTTGATCGTCATGATTAAGGGGAGGGCACGAGACGATGAGGTCCTTCTGTAGGAAGTCTATCGGCCGCAGAGTCGTAGTGTTGTCCAAATCAGTACTGGCGTAGGTCAGGGGACGTGTATTGAGTATTGACTCGATCTCGATTATGATTGTTAGTAGTTCCTCTGATGAAACTAGTGACCGTCCAAGAGTCTTGTAAAGGGAGTGCTTGACGGATTGGATCAGTCGTTCATAAAACCCCCCTTGCCAAGGAGCGTATGGGGTTATATGCCTCCACTCAACTCCCCGACTGCCCAGTTCCGTAGCTACAGCTGGATCCTCTTGCATTTTCCGAAACCCGTCTTGAAGTATTGCCTCTCCGAGCAAGAAAGTTGGGGCGTTATCACTGGTGATTGTTTGAGGGACCCCTCTTCGAGCAAAAAACCTCCGTAGCATAAGTAGAAATGCTACTGTGGAAACGTCGGAAACGATGTCAAGGTGCAGGAGACGCGTCACCATGCACGTAATTATGGATCCGTAACATTTTCTCTGTGTTCCGTCGTGGCACGCTATCGATAGGGGACCAAAGTAGTCTAGTCCGACATGCTGGAAAGGTCTTGATCTCACAACACGCTCTTTCGGAAGATCCTCTTGATTCGGGTATTTGTATGGCAGATTATTGAATTTTTGACACTTCAAGCACCTACGGATAATTCGCTGAACCTGTGAACGAAGCTGGGGAATCCAGAAGTCTTGTCTCACGAGGCTGATCGTGTGATTAATCCCTGGATGGCCTCGTTCATGGTGTTCTTGAATGATTATCTCTGCTAAAGGCGTTTTTTGTAAGATGAAGACTGGATATTTCGCTCCGAACTCCAACTGAGCGCGACCCAACCGTCCATAACACCGCAAGATCCCATTTTCATCTTGTTGGATATTGAGGTTCTTCAAGGAATTGACGATAGTCGTGCTGACCTTCAGTTTCTGGTGAGCCTTGATTACAGTCATTCCCGCAACCTCCAATTCTCGTGCAGAGAGGAGCGAAGAATGTGATCTTGAGGGAACGTCCGTTATAGCCGGAAAAACGTTATCAACTCTGTTCCGGCTCCTAATTCGTGATATTATTGCCCTCAGGAAGCGCAATGCGTAAGCCGCAACTCTCTTCGCTTTGGAGAATGTCCGTACGTGTCCGTATCGCAGAAGTTCGGGATCATACTTTGTTTCTGTGTAAGCTGAGGAGGATACCGTCACTGGCTCGTCCTGACTAGGTTCGTCGCCTTCAATGTCTTCTGGGGAGTCGAAAATCTTGTGCTTTTCGATCCATTCCGTAGAGCCGATGTCCTCAGGTGCGAAGGGACCCGTCCACCAATGATGATCGGTGAGTTCATTCGCTGTCAGCCCTCGTGTCCCACAGTCCGCGGGATTTTCCGAAGACGCGATGTATCCGAATCTCACGAAGTACCCTTTTTCCATTAAGTTGGCTGCAATCCGGCGATTTTCCGTTATCCTGTTGTGGACAAATGGTCCCACGTCGCGATGTGCCTTGGTTCTTAGCCACCCCAGTGCGATCTCAGAGTCGGACAATATGTAAATTCCTTTGATCTTGAGTACGCGTTCGACATGCGTGACTACAAAGTTGGTTAAACGCGCCGCTAGTGTGATCGCATTCAGTTCTAATTTTGGTATTGTGGTCTTTCCATGGATCGCTGGAAGCTTTGATTTGGCCATTAAAAGGTTGGATTTTGCTCTACAGCAAAGATAAATGCAGGCTGTCATTCCGCTCGAGCTGGCGTCCGCGAAGGATATTAGTACGACTTCATTCTTCCTGGGTGTTAGGAACCTCGGAACGGTCTTGCGGAAGTCATCGATCTGGGTCTTGATCTTGAGCCACTCATTACCCATAGGTTCGGGTAGTTTCGTATCCCAGTCAAAGCGGTCTCTCCACAAACTCTGTAGGAAGACTTTTGCCTGATGAAGCAAGGGCACATACCAACCTAACGGGTCATAAACCGTAGCAATCGCGCTGGTAATCGTCCTCTTGGTGACTGGGCAAGTGCCTGGAATGGAGCAGGATACGGCCAGAACATCGGCGGCCGTATTCCACTCAATTCCAAGTACTTTATGCACGTGGCCGACGGCCTTATCCGGCTTCTTGATCGTCCTCATGACCAGGTCGCTGTTGGAGGCGAACTCACGAAGATTCATACTCAAGTCCTTGAACATTTGTTTGGACTTCGAGTAGTACTGAATGGAGTCTTCGTAGGAATCCGCAGTCAAGAGGAGATTATCCACGTAGAGGTTGTTCTTGATTTCTTGTGCCAGTGGCTCTTGAGTGTACCTGTCTAGATGGTAATAAGTTGTGCCGGCTAGTAGAAACGGCGAAGACTTCAGTCCGAATGCTACCCGTGTAAAGCGAAGTGTTCGAAGATTATCGACCGTAGGAGGTTTTTTGTGGTCTCGCAGCCATAGGCATCTGGTAGCATCTCTATCGGCTTCGTGTAATCGAACTTGCAGAAAGGCTTTTTCCACATCGGCGATCAAGGCTATTGCCCCAACGCGGAAGCGCAGCAGAAGTCCTTGAAGACGGGGAAGAATCACTGGCCCTCTATGAAGGACGTCATTCAAAGAGGGACACCCCCTGTAATGAGCAGACGCGTCGAAAACGATTCTCAGTTTAGTAGTGGTTTTATGTGGAGTGACGACAGGTTGATGAGGGATATAATGCACTTGAAGCTCCTCTGTTCGTCTGTCGTCGTCCACAATCTCGACAATGTTCTTGTCCAGTTGGTCTTGAAAAATATTATGGTATTGATCAAGCAAGTTTTCGTCGTTTCTCAGGGACTTCCACACGCTTTGAAGACGTTTATAAGCCAAAACTTTGTTGTCTGGCAGTATTGGGTGGTGCTCCTTCCATGGGAGACGGACATAATATCCATCTTCTCTTCGTTCTATCGTTGAGTTGAACTGGGTCCAAACCTTCCTGTCGAGTGCATCTCGGGCGTTCTGCTGGGCTCCTTGAAATTCTTCGGTTCCAGTAGCGTCCATCGTCCAATATGTTTCCCACTCGTCCCGTTCTTCTTGAGAGATTTCGGAGTCAAAACCACTAGCCGAGGAGATTGATTGGACTGTATTCATGGACCAAAGGTCGTTCCAGTGTGTTACTTCGTCGTCGGTACGTTGCGAAACACAGGCCGCCACTGGTGGGGGAGTATTGGGTTTCCCTGATAGAAGATGTCCAAGTTTAGTCGGCATAATGTTGAGTCCTGACGGTAACCTGATTGGCGGTATATCTGTGCGAACAAACGTCCATAAGAGGTCACAGCCGAGTAACACCGATGGACTGATAACCTTTTTAGCCTTAAGAGTAATGGAAAGGTTGAGGGACTGGAGATGCTCTCTGTCTTGAACTGATAGTTGAGGGGGAGTAAAGGGTTGCGTCAAGACGTCGTACGTCAATAACTCGAGCGTATGAGGATTGCCGTCCTCATCCCACACCTCCATACGAACGAGCTTACATAGTCGTTCTTTGACCTCAGCTGTACCAAAGGTATTAATTCGAACGGTCCTCTCTCTTATAACGGGTAAGTTAAGTCTCTGTGCTAGAGCGGTACAGATGAATGATAACTCCGCCCCTGTATCGATTAGCACATCCAATTTCAGGAGTTCTCTGGAATGAGG